TCTAATCCTGGTTAAACATTTATTCAACTTTGCCATGCTCTTAATTAAACCCTTCAATGGGGCTGGCTGGTAGCATAACAGTTGAGGCAGCTGGATCCCATGACTTGACTGCATGATTCAAGTCCTAGACCCAGCAGCTTGAAAAACACACTAGACATATGCCTTTACATGCCCAAGACCCTGAAAGGACAAATTCAGAAGGAATGCCTGGGTGACAATGCACCACGGAGGGTGTTTTCTCACTCCTCATTGCTTCTCTTCCCAGCAAACCCATAGTGCTCCTTATGACCAGCAGATAATTCATAAGTTCATTAATATGGCATATGAGGCCTTTTATCATTTGCCCCCCTACCTAAATGTCCAGAATCCTCTCCTATCCCTCCTTAGTCTCACAACTGATGTGCTAGCACAAAGGTCACAAACTGGCTCACCTAAACCAAATTTGCCTCACATATATATTTTGTTTGGCCTGCATACTATCTGTAGAATTTTTGAACCAACATTTAAAACTTCTAAAGATTCTACCTCAAATCCATATTTGTGACTTCTCTTGAAAAATTATAACACTGAACCCTCAAATTTACACTTATAACAATTCCCAGTAGCTGCCTTCTTTGAAAGGGCTCTACAGTTCACTAGTTCTTACCATTCACCCATCCAAAGTATGCATATATACCTACATCTGTAATTCTGTTATTAAACTCCTGTTATAGATCATAAGATTCTAAATTATTATCAAAAACTTCTGACCCTCATTATAGAATGTTCTCTTTCTTTACCATGGCTGTGCTGATGATAGTCCATCGTCTTTGCATAGCCTGGAGAAGAGAAAGCAGCAGGAAGAGGAGAGAAAGCAGAAGCAGAGGTAGGAGTAGAAATCTGTAGTCTATGGGTCAAAGTCTCCATTTTGAAGCAATAAAATTGTGGAAATGACAGGAAGGAACTGTCCCAAGTCTTTGAGACTTCTGATTAGTTCCCTCTAGGAGCAAGTCTACTAACCTTCTTGGAACATTTACCTTCTCAACTGGACATGGGGAGGAAAGGCCTGAGGATATTAGCTCATATTGCCCTAAACTGTGGGAGTCAGGTTTGTAAAGAGAGAATCAGTTTCCAAATGTAATTCCTTTTGTTGAGTGTCTGCTGTGTGTCTAGCACTGTGTTAAATGATAGTGGGTAAACAAAAGTTCTGCCTTCCAAGAGCTCTTGAACTTATTGAGGAGACAAGAAGTACATGTGTGAAATAATTAGAGAATAGTATAAAGCAACAGCAGGAAAGTGATTATCTTAAGTGATTTTCTTAGATGTAATCCATGCCCATAATACTTGTGAAGGATGAGCTAAAAGTCAAGAGTAGGAGCTACTGAAGAAGGCAGAGCTTGCAGTGGGTCCCTGACTGGCAGAGAAATGGGATGAGATCAATTTTACACAGGTTATCCCACAAGGATATACAGAGAGCAATGAGTGAGGTGGGTGTGACAAACTTGGAGTACCCACACTGACTGGAAGACAAAAGGCGGTCTGAGTGGGAGGACATAGTTGGTCACTTCAGACCAGTTTTCTTTTGAAAATATTTCCGTTCTGTCAATGTATCCAGAAAGCAAAACAAAGAATCAGAAAACTTCTTGTTGGAGAATCAGATAGCTCCAGAAAGCATTTCATATTCTAGGCAAAGACAGCAATCTTTTGACCTCATAACACACATGGGACTAAGCAAAATTGAAAAGTATTGCTGTGTGTGTTAGGGCATACTGAAGAAAAGAATAGAAAAGACTGAGAAAATTGAGCATGGAAGCAGAGAGAGAAGAGGCAGGAAGAGTAGCATGCTGGAATGCAGACACATACCTACGGTTTTTACCAACCTGACCCTCACAGGTCGTGTCCCAAGATGCCCTGTTCTGTCCAGTGCTCTTTATACTAATCAGATAAACCAGGTTCCTTGTAACAAAGTAGTATTTTATTCTTTACACAAATAACAGCAGAAAGAAACCTAACACTTCCCACCTCCACTGTCCCCAAAAATGAAAAGGAAACCTTCTGGTTAAAAGGAATAGAGCTGCTACTTTTACAGGGAGTTGAAGTTCCACCTCTTAAGCTCTCAGCATGGGTAGCACACTGCACAATTTGTGCTCAAAGACCCCTGAAGCATGATCTGTTCCTTTTCCTTAGTGTCTAGTACCTACTTTGCACTTGGCATCTCCCTTTTACACTCAGCACTTCATTGCTGCCTAGGGACCCCTCTGGTCTAAGAGTTGGCACTGCAGTTTGCCCTTCTAAACTCCTGCATCCTTGGTTCCTGCAAGCAATCCCAGCTAAAAGAGGCAATCAGTTTCTACACCACTGCAGGATTTTCCTGATGGGACCTTTTCTTGGCAACACAAACAAGATAGTCCTGTCCTATCCTCCTAACACCTTCAGATCACGACAGAGGTTGAGGTGTATGCTCCTGCCCAGAGAAAGGGAACATTTCCCATATCTGAGTTCTTATCTTCCTAGGCAGCCTGTGACAAATTGCTCATTTACCATCCCTCCCAGCTCTTGGCTTAATGCTGATTGTATTTATGTTCATTTCCAGGCCTACTCAGATCTACTTCTTCCTTAGCCTGTAGGCTTGTGTTAATTTCCAAGATTATTCTTTCCTGTGTCCAATTTACTTTGTGAGCCAGTTGCTCACTTCCTGCTGTCTTGTTTGTAGCTGTTTCCCTCTAAATGTTTAACAATGTTTACTTGCTGCTCCATCACCATGGGTGACCAATGTGCAGCAGGCTCTCAATTGTTCAGAGGCTGATGTAGCCACTCAGCAAAGGAAACAGGTCTCTTGCAAGTCCTCTACACCCACCTTTCTTTCACTTCCTGTTTTCTGGCCACCTTCCTGTTTGGGACTCACTTGTGGAAGCTGGGAGGGAGGCAAAGATGATGAAAAGCATTAACTCATCCTTTTGTCAGTTTGCCAGGAACCGTGGGTTGTGGTGTGGTTTGTGTGTGTGTGTTTTGTTAGTTTTTAGTGAAAAGGAAAACTATTGATTAAAAACAATATTTGTCTTCTCTGTGAGTCTCATCTATCCATATTCTGCTCTCCCCAGTTAAAATTAGTATTTGGAACTGTTTTGTTTTATTTCATTTTGCCTTAAATATTATAAGATCAATATATCCCAATCTTCTGGAATCCTATCCATGTTTTGAGTATCTAGCTCCATTCTCCATACAGCTTCCTCTGACATTTTTTTTTTTTTGAGATGTTTTTGCTATAGGGCATGTACGCTCACCAGAAAGACAGAGAGACAAAAAGCGAGAAATCACCCCCCCCCAGGGGGGATGGCCATGTCACAATCCCTTCTCCTCTATTCTCCTCTCGGGATCTTGGGCATGCACGCACATGTGCCCAGTGTGAGTTTAAGCCACCAGGTCCGGGACTCGAACCACAGTTGACTACATGGGAGTCCAGTGACATAGCCATTATGCCAACTGCTGGTCCCATCCTCTGAATATTTCAATCTTCCCTGTCCTCTAGATCTAGATCCTAAACTCTTCTATGAGTCAAGTGAGCTATCTCAGTTTCCCTATTGGATTTATAACAGGAGAATAAACTGGGCACCAAAAGACATATTTCTTTTTATTTCTTTTTTTAAATCACTAGTGGGAGTATGCACTGGGAAGAGAGAGAGAGAAAGAGAGAGAGAGAAAGCACCCTTCTAATGTGGTGTAGACATGCCATAGCCTTTTTTCCTTCATTTTTCCATCCTGCTGGGATTTGGGGTATGCACACACACATGTCCGATATGTCTTTCAAGCCACCTGGCCATGTTTTGAACCTCAGTTGGTCATGTGGGATCCAGCTCCAAATGTGCAGCTTTTCACTGCAGTGCTTTGGAGCTAGCCCTCAAAAGACACATTTTAAAGTTGAAAGAATTTTTATTCATTGACATATTCTGTACACTCACCTGAAAGTACTCCTGAGTACTCAAAGAAATCCATACCTCTCACCTTTTATTATGCCATGGACAAAGCAGTTTTATCAAGGTATTAATGCAATTAATAACCCTTCTCCAGGCCTAGAAGTCCTCATGTATAGAGTACTTCTCCCTAACACTAACAGATTTGCTTTACCTTCTCAGGACCTACAGGAGGTTGAACAAAGCCTGTCTAGTCTTGGTTTCAAAGTCCCACATGTAAATATATATAAAGTAAATGTAACCATTTCAATGAGTGTTCTTTTCAGCCTCCAGGGCATGATTTAGTGGCACAGTCTTTAAGATCACTAGTTGTTTTAGCCCTTCAAACAAATATTTCTGCAGTCCTTACTGGCCATTTAGAAATGAATACATATCACTATGTATTATTACCAATTTTATGTATGTCCGATCTACCCAACTAATCTCCAAAAGGTCAGAAAAAAACTGTTCTTTACCTCACTATATCTCCATTATGTTTCAGAGAAAACTGGGCATATTGTGGTTGCATAATGTAAGAGCCAAATTCTAGAACCATATTGCCTGAGTTTGAATTTTGGCTTAACTGTATAACCTTAGGTATGTTCTTTAAACTGCTCTGTGTCTCAGCTTCTTCATATGAGGAGACTATTTACCTCACAATGTTTTTTTTTTTTTTTTTTTTTTTTTGTGAGAGTTTTTCTTTTAGGGGGGGGGGGAC